CGTGCTGGCTGATCCTCCCCAGAATCCCACGGTTCATGTATAGTGATTGTTCCCCATCCATCTCAGACTCTCCCCCTCCGCCTCCACAACAGCCTCCAGGAGATCTCGGAAGGCTCCTGTTCACCACTGTCATTAATTTGAATTCAGCATATGTAGCCGGTTATAAAACTCGAGACATCATCATCTGAGCAGGTCAAGCATATTCAGATGAAGACAAATGGTGCTTATTTGATTTCCTTAAAATCAGGAAATGAAAAAAGTGCTCTCTGGAGAAATCACGCTCCGCCTGACTTGGATGATAGACCAGCGCGTGTCCCCCAGATAAGAACAGGCTCTCGCCTGGAGGTTTTTATCTCTGAAGGACGGCCAGGACTGTCAGCTTGCTGACATGTGCATTATCCATGTCATTTTAAACAAAGTGACCTATGGAAGGGTGCGCCGTGCTGTGACATGGTAATGGGCTGTTGGATGACAGCGGAAGTACACACTGGATAGGGGGCTGAGGGCTGTTCTTTTGTTTAACTGACAAGTTGAAGCCTCCTGCCTCCAACCCTCAGGAGCGAATTTTAGCTCCTTGGAAGTAGGACCTCGGGTATCTCGGGCAGCCAGCGTGTGTCAGGGATGGGTAACAGCATGCAAAGTGCAATCGATGCCCACACTAGCCCCAAGGTCACGTGGGCGTATGGCAAAAGTAGCTATAATTCTTTGCGGGTGTCTCTGACACCCAGGAAGGTGCTGAAACCTTCTGACCACTCTGAGAGCTCTACAGGCAAGCAAGAACTGATCTCACTTCTCCGAGAGGGTGGGTTTTATTCAAGGTCTTCCTCTCTGAGCACAGTTGCGTGTGTGCATCTTCCTGTATGAGCGGGTGCATGTGTGTGTGCATCTTCCTGTGTGCTCAGAGGCCAGAGGACAACCCTGGGCATCATTACCTGGTGCTGTCTACCTGACTTTTGATGAACTCTTGCTGGCCTGGAGTTCATTCAGTAGGCTAGGCTTGCTAGCCAGCAAACTGCAGGGACTTTCCTGTCTCTGCCTGCCCAGCACTGCGAATACAAGTCTGTGGGCTCTGGGCATTGAACTCATGTTTGAACAGGCAACACTTGCAAGCACGCTCTTTCCCCTAGCCCATGCATTTTTTTATTTCAGAAGCCTGATGGTGCATACCTGTCATCCCAGCCTTTAGGAGGCTGAGGCAGGCGAATTGCAAGTTCCAGGCCCTCGTGTGCTACCTAAGGAGGCTGTATTTCAAATACATAAAGTGAATTCCATATTGATACATCTGTCTGCAGTCGCCGGGGGAGGGGGTGAACATTCCTCTTTGCCGTTCCTCTGAGTAGTTTCCTCTAGGCCTTGCTCAAACCTCCGGAACTACCCCAGGCCTGGTCTCTACTACAGGTCCCTTACCCTGGAGCCTCTGGGGACCTCAGCCATCATTAACAAGATCTGCAGACTCCGGTAGCTTCTAGAATGGAGCTGCTTGTGGGCATTAGAAGCAGCAGAGGGGGTAGTCAAGGTGGTTAGACGCAGCAGCATTCAGCTAGACAGAGTGAAAGGGTGGGGCAAGGGGAGTACCAGTCTGGGAGGAGAGTAAACAGGCAGGTCCAAGGGCAGGAAGTCAGTGGGAGGGCAAGGGGCATTAGACACAGTCTTCTTATGCATGGTATATCCCCTGCCTACGCACTGGGCTGTATTTCGATTGCACCTTGAAGATCATGCAGGCCTTTGTAACTGGGAGCCGCACTTGGCACTTGGGCTGTGCTATCCCTGACCCAGTGGGTGTTTCTCCAGGGGTTCCCAGCAGGAGCCCGGGAGCCTCTAATTGCCTGGCCCTGCGTAGTTAACTCTGCCAGACTTCTCCTTTTCCAGCTTAGACAGGAGAGTGTTCATCCCGCCACCTACGACCTGAACACCATCCTTTCTGCTTCGCAGGGGCCCTGTCAGCCTGCTCTATGGCAGGGCTGTAGCCCCCAAAACCCACCAGGGCACTTGCTGGCACCGCTTTGGAGGGTTTGAATACAAATATGAATTGCTAAATAGTGGAGTATACATGCCACTCAGCATCCTGGGATCCCTTCAGCAAGTCCCACTGGGAATGCTGTTGTAGCCAAAAGTGAGACTTGCGGGAGGGACCTGGTGGGAATTCTCTCCAGAAGACCTGTCATTCTTACTCCGTGGGGATCCGCAGAACCGGCAGTCTAAAATTAGGGTACGGTATTTCGCACAGCTGACTGAATTAAGATAGACTCTGCTTTCTTCTGATAGGAAGCTATAATTTATAAAATGATACCCTTACTAATTAATGTGAAAGTATCTGGGAAAGGGCTGGGAAGCAGAGCCTTTCTGAAACGCTCGAGACAGACTTGCATGTGCACAGGATCTGATGAGGCCCCACTTGGAGCATCCTCAGCCCCAGGAACGCGTTGCACATTAGCAGCCGAGAACCTGGAAGGCTCCTGGGAAGGGAGAAATTGGGTGGGGAATTAAGTAGGCGGTGAACCCAGCATCTTGGATGTGGGATGTCTCTTCATTTGTCATTAGGAACAAGGAAGAGGCAGCACTTGGCCCCCTGATCACCCAAATTAAGCAATTACTCCAATCCCACACTGGAAAAGAATTGCCATCAGGAGAACAGTGAGGCAACAATAGCATTTCTGCATAGTTGGGCTATATTTTCTTTGGTTTTCTCTTTCCCCTAATACTGGCTGCACACCTGCACCGTGTGCAGCAGTACCCCTCATTTGGTTATGAAGTCAATGTCAGGATTTAAAGTCACAATCTCTCCACCTACCCACTTCTTCTTCTTCTTCTTCTTTTTTTGGGGGACTGTGTGAGCCATGGATGGCTGGTCAGAAGGGATCTCCAATCTCGTTTCTGCCTCTGTCTCTTACTATTCTGTATGCAGGGTGATTCTCGGTGTTGTAATGTATGAGATGGGAAGACCCCGGCCCACCCATCTTCTTGTTGGGGTAGGTTGCAGGCTCCCCTGCCTGGGCTCAGTGTTAGCTGGGGGTTGTTTCCTAGGCTCAAGGCTCACCTTGGGAGGGAGGAAAGCTGCACTCCACCTCAGATAGCTTGAGTCCTGCAAGAGACCCAGGGCGCTCCAGGGGAACGCAGGGCTCAGCTCTCATCCCCAAGGACACTTCCTGGAACAGACTGGATGGAAGGCCTTAAACCATAAAAGGTTCCTAAAACCGTATCTTTTTAACCCCCTTATCCCGACATATTACTCATACAGGCCAGAGTAATGTGGGGCCGTCTTAAAATGAGCAGACAGCCGTTAAGTAATAGATGATACAGGTTTTTGTCCCCTTGGCAGCTCTTCCCAGGTATCAGACCCTTCCTGTTTACAGGGGAAAGTTCTTATTTGGGCTTGGGCGTCAGGGGGCCAGATATAGGGTTTTTTGTTTGTTGTTTGTTTTGATTTTTCCCCCCAGAAAGCTTCTGAAGTAATATTTTCTTACTTTATTTGTTCTTTGAGAATTTTAGACAATGTATATTTGTTGTTATTGTTCATTTGTGTGAGACACAGTCGTTCTCACTGTGTAGCTATGGCTGATTCAGAGGTGTGTTGACCAGGCTGGCTTTGAACTCACAGACATCTGCATGCCTGCTTGCTTCTGCAGGGATTAAAAGTGTGCGCCGCCACATTCGGGCTCTCATACGATCTATATTGATCACACTCACCCTCTCATCTCTTCCCAGATGCACCCCCCTTCCCTGCCCATCCAACTTTATGTCCTCTTCAGGATTTTTTTTTCATTTTTTATTGCTGTATTTATTAATTTTTAAAATTTTAATGCATCTTTAATTAATATTTAATTAATAATATAATAAATAGGATTATATCAGTTTTCCCCTTCTGTTTCTACTCTCCAACAGCCCTCCCCCCATGCCATCCCTGCTCCCAAGAGAATATTTTAGCAACAAAACTGGATCTGGAAATAAAGCTTAGTGGGTAGCACTCTTACTTAGTTAGTATGCCAGGAAACCCTAAGTTCCATCCTCAGCACCAAACAAGCCAAGAAAAGTGGTCCATGCCTAGAATCCCAGCTCTTGGGAGGTAGAGGCAGGAAGGCCAGAAGTTCAAAGCCATCCTCAGTAACACTTAAAGCGTTAGTTGGAGGCTATCCTGGGCCACTTGAGACCTTGTCTCCAAAAAATAAAAATAAAAAAAAAATAAGAAAAACAAATGTTTTCTGTAATTGTTGTTGGTGGTCATGATGGTCTCACATGTGAGGGAAGGGGGTAACTTTTAAGCAAAGAGACCCATCTTTGGCTTATGTTCTTAATTCAGCCGAGACCACACACACACACACACACACACACACACACACACACACACACACACACACACAC